ACCTCGACCTGCTGGTGTAGGAGGAGGAGGATGAGGTGGTAGTCTGCGTGTGCGGCTGCTGATGGTGCCCCTCTGCCCCGGGGGGGATGAGTATCCCTTTCCCCCGAAAGAAAAAAAACCACCCCCTGATAATCCTCCTCAGAACAAGAGGAAGACGAGGACGAAGTAGGTCGTGGTGGAGGAGGAGGAGGAGGAGGAGGAGGAGGAGGAGGAAAAGGAGGCAAGAGGTACCCTTGATGGAGTGTTTCCTTGCCCACGAACTTCATGATCTTCGACTCGCTTCCCGAGGTCTTGATAAATTTCCTTGACGTCTGAACGGCGCTGGATGAGAAAGAACGTTGTGTACTCGTAGTGGATAGTGCAATGTTCGTGAGCAGGAGCAGGAGCAGGAGCAGGAGCAGGAGCAGGAGCAGGAGCAGGAGCAGGAGGAGGAGGATTGGAGCAATCGTCGAATTTTGCTGTCAGGCTGCTTGCTATCAAGAGAATGCTCCTCCCCCCTCCGACTTGTCGATCCCTTGCGACTGCCTGATCATCCTCCTGACTTGCTCGCTCCATCCCAGCAGGCTCCCATCTGCGATCCTCCGACCGCTCCCCTCACGCAAGGGCACATAGGAGAATCTTGACGGCTGCTGGCTCAAAGTGTTCTCAACTCCCACGAGGGTCTCAGATCCAATGGGAGGGAACGAGAACGTCAAATTCGAAGAGGGAGGCACCCTCGCGGAGCGGGACATACTCTCCTCCTCCTCCTCCTCCTCCTCCCTGTCCCCTCCTCTCCTCTCCCCATGGAAGCGTCTCATCAGGCTCATCCACTCCTCATTCTCCACGTCGTGATCCTGCCATGCTCGCGTGTAGATCCCTGGAGACAGTTGTCGGCATGGATCCTCGAGGGACGAGAGAACCGCATGCTCGGATCCCCTCCACGAAACTCTGGACGGTCTTGTCAGGCATGCCAGCTGTTGCATGGCGCGCAGTCCACGGGGAGTGCGGGTAGCGATGCTGTCAGCGAGGGAGAAACGGAGGAAGCAAGGGGAGGATGCGGAAGAGCAAGACCAGTATGAGCTCTCACTAGGCGTCTCCTTGCAGGAACCCGCGACGACGAGCGCCAGTGCAAGCAGGATCCTGTCTCTCGCTTTCATGGTGCGAGAAGTCAGGGAGGGAGGGAGAGAGGGGAGGGGAGGGAGGGAGGGGGGAGGGGGGAGGGGGGGAGGAAAGGGTGGGAGGGAGGGAGACAGGAGGGAGGGAGGCAGGGAGGGAGAGAGACAGGAGGGAGAGAGAGAGAGGGGGAGGGAGAGAGGGAGGAAGAGAGGAAGAGCGAGGAGGGAGGGAAGGAGGTTAGGCGGCGGTGGGGGCGGTGGAAATTTTTTCAGGACGGGGAGGCGGGGGATCGAAAAACGGGATTAGAAAAAAACCCGCTCGTTATGGCAGGGGAGGAACAGGAGGAGGGAGGGGAAGCGACAGGACGGGACGGGGCTGAGGGTGAGAACAGAAGCTGAATGGATGAAGGAGACAGGATCAACCTGAGACGACATGGAGGCGAGAAGAAATACAGCGATGATGGCAGAGACAAGCATGGTTACATGCTCAGTGAAGTGATTGCAGGGCATGTTTATGAGCAGTGTTGATGCAACCAGTCGGAGAGGGAAATTTGCTTCAAAAGGAGGATGAAATACGGGAGAGAGGGAAAGAGGAGGCAAATTCTACGTGAATGCAGCTGGGGCTGGTACATCAGTACATCCTTTCATTCATCGTCTGCCTCTGCTGCTGCCCTCTTCTCCTCTCTTCTTCTCTCCTCTCTCCCCCTCCTCCAAGGACGACGTCGTCGCTTGTCCCCATACCAGCCCGGAGCTCCGCAGCGCCTGAGTCCCGCCTTGCGGGAGCACGGGGAGGGGTCGACCAGGCAGGAGCAGCTCACTGAGGGACAGGCGCGGCGGTCAGCTGGCTGGTGCTGCTCGGCTGCCCGGCCGGGACGGACTTGAGGGAGACGAGGAGGCTCCAGGCTCCCTGCTCGCTCTGCATGAGAGACGCGCAGAGGCCGCCGAGGGGGTCGGCGGGCTCCATGCCGATGTCGTCGAGCATGTTCTCGAAGGTCTTGAGGGGACCAGCGTCACCTCGGAGCTTGGTACCGGGCCTGGCGAGGCGAATGATGGCGATGAGCTGGTGCTGCAGCTGGAGCATGTCGGGGGGCTGATGGGCATTGTAGTCGAGATCCCAGGCCATGGCGTTGATGAGGTACTGGCCGCTGGCTGGAGGGCGAAGGCTGAACTGGAAGCATTCGTTGTCTGCGGGGCCGGCGTGGAGGCAGAAGAGCTGGGAGGCAGGGCGGCGCATGACGGTGTCAAGGACGGCGAGGCAGAGCTGGCCCTTTGCGGAGGCAGCGTAAGCGCTTGTCCGGTTGCACGTGAGGAACCCTGTGGAGAACGAGGAGCGGTCGACGATCATGTCGGAGAACTCGAGGAGCACGCCGAGCTTGACCTGGACGAGCGACGGAAGAGGGGAGGGGGAGCGAGGGTCCGAGTCGAGGTAAGGGGAGGCGGAGGACGAGGACGGGGAGGGGTCGTGGGTGGAGAGGGACGCGACGGGCTTCTGCCATTGGGAGGGAAAGTCGGCAATGAAGACGTTGTCGATGTCGAGGGTGTCGGCGACGTCAGGGCTGGGGATCTCCTGGGGCCTGAGGAGCTTGAGGGCGCGGGCGGTGGTATGCTGCAAGTGCTCGAGCGCGTCTGAGGAGGTACGCTTGTGTCCAGGAGAGCCAGGGGTGGGAGGGGGAGGGGGAGGTGGAAGGAGGCCGGAGGGGTCGTCCTGGGGAATGGAAGGGTATTCCATGGGCTGGAAGAGCAGATGGGGCAGGAATGTCATTTCTGGAATGGCAAAGTTAGAGGGAGGAGGAGGAGGAGGAGGATGTTTGGAAGTATGGGATGACATGAGGGGAAGGGTAGAGGAAAGAAGGAGGGATGAGAGCTTGGTGCGAGTGGGAGGAGAATAAGCATGTTGTTTTGGTGATTGTGGAGGTTTTGTTTGAATTGCACATTCTTTGTCTTATGGTTTGGTCAGACTTGGTGCGCTCTCATTTGAGATATTCTTCCTCATGTATAATTATGATGTGTCTGTCTGTGTATTTCCGTGTTCTTGCTAGCATGTTTGGTTTTTTTGGCCTATGTTATCTCTCTTTTCTTTTTTGTTTTTGCTGTTCGCCGTCTTTGTCTGACATTGATTTCTTTTGTCTTATGCTTCTTCCTTCCTTCTTATTTTCACGCTCTTTTTTGCACATCACTTCTACCCTGCCTATTTTGGCATTGAAATACTTCATCGCTGAATTCTTTGTTAGCTGTTGTTTCTACTCTTGTTTCTCGTCTCTTTTCTTCTTTTTGACATCTTTCCTGTCTTTTGCTCTGCTCTCCTTCTCTTTTCTCCCCTCATTCGCTTGTTTTCGTACATTCTTTCGCTCTGTGTGCCATAGACTCCGTGTTGTTCCCGGTCTCGTACCCCATGTGTGGGTAGGGTGATGAACTTATCATTGTCCACCCCTACTTTGATAGATGAGTTGATGGAAGTGTACAGGGTGGGTAATAACCCCTACCCTCGTTCTTTCCAAACCCTACCCGTCTAGAGTAAAATCATCAACCAACACGGGGTACTGCACACCAATTTCAAGTACCCCTTCTTTTTCCAAATTTTCAGACGATTATTGGGGGTAGGGTGATCACAAACCAGTTTGCAGGATGAGCATACCACCCCTGCAACCCCCCTGGTTCACCCTACCCCGTGTTGTTCTACCACCCGATAGGAAAGTTCCACTCATGTACGGGTCATATCATCAACCCCAATTTTACCTATTAAACTACCCTCTCAATGGTACCCAGCTCAACCAACAAAACAAAAGTACCGGTACAAAAGAACCCCCTACCCCCAAAGAAAAGACAACCAGCCCCCCCGCCCTTCCCTTCTTTAGAGGAGGCTTGTTCCTCCCACTCGCACCAAGCTCCCATCCCCTTCTTTCCTCTACCCTTCCCCTCATGTCATCCCATACCTCCAAACATCCTTCTCCTCCTCCTCCTCCTCCTCCCTCTAACTTTGCCCTCCCCTCCCTCCCGCAGGACGACCCCTCCTGCCTCCTTCCGCCTCCCCCTCCCCCTCCCACCCCTGGCTCTCCTGGACACAAGCGTACCTCCTCAGACGCGCTCGAGCACTTGCAGCATACCACCGCCCGCGCCCTCAAGCTCCTCAGGCCCCAGGAGATCCCCAGCTCTGACGTCGCCGACACCCTCGACATCGACAACGCCTTCATTGCCGACCTTCCCTCCCAATGGCAGAAGCCCGTCGCGTCCCTCTCCACCCACGACCCCTCCCCGTCCTTGTCCTCCGCCTTCCCTGACCTCGACTCGGACCCTCGCTCCCCCTCCCCTCTTCCGTCGCTCGTCCAGGTCAAGCTCGGCGTCCTCCTCGAGTTCTCCGACATGATCGTCGACCGCTCCTCGTTCTCCACAGGGTTCCTCACGTGCAACCGGACAAGCGCTTACGCTGCCTCCGCCAAGGGCCAGCTCTGCCTCGCCGTCCTCGACACCGTCATGCGCCGCCCTGCCTCCCAGCTCTTCTGCCTCCACGCCGGCCCCGCAGACAACGAATGCTTCCAGTTCAGCCTTCGCCCTCCAGCCAGCGGCCAGTACCTCATCAACGCCATGGCCTGGGATCTCGACTACAATGCCCATCAGCCCCCCGACATGCTCCAGCTGCAGCGCCAGCTCATCGCCATCATTCGCCTCGCCAGGCCCGGTACCAAGCTCCGAGGTGACGCTGGTCCCCTCAAGACCTTCGAGAACATGCTCGACGACATCGGCATGGAGCCCGCCGACCCCCTCGGCGGCCTCTGCGCGTCTCTCATGCAGAGCGAGCAGGGAGCCTGGAGCCTCCTCGTCTCCCTCAAGTCCGTCCCGGCCGGGCAGCCGAGCAGCACCAGCCAGCTGACCGCCGCGCCTGTCCCTCAGTGAGCTGCTCCTGCCTGGTCGACCCCTCCCCGTGCTCCCGCAACGCAGGACACAAGGGCTGCGGAGCTCCGGGCTGGTATGGGGACAAGCGACCACGTCGTCCTTGGAGGAGGGAGAGAGAGGAGAGAAGAAGAGAGGAGGAGAGGGCAGCAGCAGAGGCAGACGATGAATGAAAGGATGTACTGATGTACCAGCCCCAGCTGCTTACACATGACCCCACACTTCAAACTTACGCTGCTCAGGTGTTTCCTTTGCAGTTGATTCGGAGATTCTGGACAGCTGACTGTAGAGACTGCAACGCAAGAGAATTCTTGAGCGCTTCCTGTTGGGAGTTCGTGAGTGAGGAGCAGCGAGGTGGAGAAGGAGCTGTGGGTTGTGCTTACCCCTCGTTCTGACGCGATACCTAGCTTCGGGTCTAGAGGAATCCTTCCCTTTGTTCACAGTGTGAATGGGATACAAGAGCATGGCGGGAAATAAAGGAGGAGGATGAGGAGGAGGAGAGGTTGTTTGAAGGGGATCGGGTTGAGAGCATGGGAGGTGTTGGGCAGAGTGAACTGGTGGATGAATAGCATGCAGCGTGTTTGCAGGTGGCAGGAAAAGTGCACGTGCATTACCAGGAAGGGAATACCATGCTTCTTGGCCATCGCCTCCGCTCCCCGGAGGACCGCGCTGGGTCCTTGGACTGAAAAGAGCAAGCTGGAGTGAGGCACAGGTGAAGTCAGTGACATGAATTCGTTCACGACCTGAGTCAGCTTCGCTCGGAACGAAGATCTCTGAGGAGTTTCCGCAGTGAGGGCAGACAAAACCGGCCATGTTCTCTATGACCCCAAGGATTTTGACTCCTGCTTTCCTGCAGAAGTTGATCTCCTTCCTGACGTCCAACAGTGCGACCTCCTGGTCAATGAGAAGATGTGAGGAAGAGGAGGAACGGGTACAGCAGAAGCACATGCTCTCTTAGCGTAAAAGAGAGCAAGAGAACTCGGTCAGGCAAAGAAACAACCTGTGGGGTAGTGACGATGACGGCTCCGACGTTTGACGTTTGGTTGAGGCACTGGGCGATTGTGATGTGTTCATCTGATGTGCCCGGAGGAGCATCGATGACGAGGTAGTCAAGCTTCTCCCAGTTCACATCCTTGAGGAACTGAACTTGACAATGAGAAAAGGGGAGGCAAGAGCGAGTGTCAACTTCACCTGTTTGATCAGACCAATCTTCCTTACCCCCCTCCATACGACCGCGTCATCTCGTGAGGGGAGCATGAAGCCGATAGACATCACGCACAAGTTCTCATCCACCCAAACAGGCTGCCACCCTGACCCTGACTGATGCACGTCCATGTCCTCAACGCCGAGCATTCTAGGCGCACTAGGCCCACAGACATCGATGTCAAGCAAACCAGTCACGTTGCCTCCTCCGCTCAACGCCATCGCAACTTGAGATGCGACTGTCGATTTTCCCACTCCTCCCTTCCCGCTCAGCACGAGGATTTTGTGTTTCACGAGCGACATTCTCGCTTTGATCTCTTCTATGGCTGGATCAGGGGCAGACGACTGGCCAGAGGCGCATGCTGCTTGGTTGGGACATCCCACGCATGTCGACGACTTGCCTGCCATTTCTGATGTCGTGCCTGGGCAACCTTCCGGCGCATCTTCAGGGACATCGTTACTTTCCTCCTCCTCCTCTTCCTCCTCGTAGCTTTCTGCGTGCAAGGCAGACAGTCACTGAACGTTCAGTTGTTCTCGAGAAAAAACAAGCGACAGGCATGAGATATCAAACCTCCTGCCCCTTGTTCGTGTGCCTCGTGTGACGATCCTCCTCTGAGTCGAATGAATCCAAGTTTGTGATGTGCTGCTGCAGGGTCAGCATATCTACACAAAGATTTTCCTAAAAAAGCAAGGGCTTACATACCAACAAGGTTCAAAGCTCCTTTCGGCAACAGAGAGTCTTTCAGCACGAGGGACGAGTCAAGAAGTCCCAAGCTGAAGAACAAGATGCATGCGGCTAGCAGGATTGATCTCCTCGCTGCTGCCGAACTCATCTGAATTCTAGACATGTTAGCTTAGACCAAGTTTGCGCTCCACTACTCTCAGTCACATGCGAATAGATCATTTGGTCATTGCCAAAAAGAATTGGGATATTCGACAGCATCAAGAACATCAAGCCCAATCTATAACGTTGCTGTGATATCTTATCAGGCTACATTTCTATCGTCTCAATAAAAATCCCCTCATTTGCGAACAAGGAATTTCCTAGATTGGGTCCGAGCCAGTGCATTGAGGGATTCATGGCGCGGGCTTGAATAAGTTTCCTAGGCCTGTGATGTATCCTTTTGAACAATCCTCTCCTCGCTAACCCTCCTCCTCTCCTCCTCTCCTCCTCTCCTCCTCTCCTCCTGACTATCCTGGTCCTCGTCATACGTTCACCCGACATGACGGACCTTTAAAATGGTTTCTTTTTTGCATTGTAAGATCTGTTCCAATAGTACTAATTATATTGTTTTTAAAGGATTACCTGGCTGATAAATATAAATATTTTTAAGGTTTAGGTTTGGTCCGATTCTAGAAATGCTGCTCATTGATTTCAAATTTCAAGAAACTCGGACGGGTACAGAGTTGAAACGGATGGTAGACCCCACCCCGAGCACCTGAAGACATGACCCCACCCAGAAATTCCCCAGTACATGATCTATCAAGTACCCCTCTCATTCACTACCTACCCCCATTATCCACGAGCTTCACCTCGCCCCCCCTGCAGACTGCAGGCATGGCGGCGGCGCGGGTCCCCCTGGCCATCGCGCCATGCAGGGAGAGGAGTGTAGATAGGAATGACGCGCATGGCGCTCTAACAGATACTGCCTGTGGATGAAAGCCTCGAAGGCATGTTACAGGGTGCATACTTGCGTTGTAGCATCGAGTGTTGTCTTTGGCCGGTTTGATCAAGTTCGGACCAGCTGATAGTAGATGTTGCTCAGTGGCAGCAAAGCGTAACGCGCAAGCCGAACATGCCAGGGCACAACGATTCCTCGTAATCATAGACTATCGGGTGCTGGCATGTTGCTCTAGCAGATAGGGTCAGGAACGGATAGACTTACACTGTACTTGCAGCCTAGTCGCAAACTCAGATTCGTCACGCATCACAATTTCATATTTCTATTTCAAGATGAAGATTGTTGATTGTGACCTATCACCATAAATTACCGATAAGTGCTTTCATCTCCCTTCGCTGACCTTTTTGTGCACCAGGAGTATATCGTTCTAGAGATTTCACCCGCGTTTGCAAGTCAGTGCCTCGCGGTCCAAAGAGGTCTTCCTTTCCAGCATGGGTGTCCCCGGACTCTATCGCTGGTTGTGTGCTCGTTACCCCAAGTCTGTCGTTGATGCGCAGGAGAAGCTTCCGCAATACATCGGAGGTGTACGTGTGGATCCTGATACCAGCTTGCCCAATCCGAACGGTGTTGAGTATGACAACTTGTATCTGGATATGAACGGGATTATTCACCCTGCATGCCATCCTGAAGATCTTCCTGCACCAGTCACTGAAGAGGAGATGTACCTTGCCATCTACAAGTACATCGACCGTGTCTTCAACATCATCAGGCCACGAAAAATGCTCTACATGGCCATTGATGGAGTTGCGCCAAGGGCCAAGATGAATCAGCAGCGATCACGTAGGTACAGATCTGCCAAGGACATTGAAGACAAGAAGGCTGAGGAAGAGAGGCTGAGGAGTGAATGGTCTGTCAACGGGAAGAAACTTCCCCCAAAGAAGGCCCCGACCTGGGATCACAACGTCATCACCCCCGGTACTGCCTTCATGCATCGGCTCTCGAAATTCCTGAGATACTACATTCACAATCGTATCACCAACGACCCGGGATGGAAGAACGTGAAAGTAGTTCTTTCCGATGCAAGCGTCCCTGGCGAAGGAGAGCACAAGGTGATGGAGTTCATCAGGTTGCAGAGGCAGCAGAAAGGCTATGATCCCAACACTCGCCATGCTATCCATGGAAAAGATGCTGATCTCATCATGCTTGCGCTAGCTACCCACGAGCCCCACTTCTCGATTTTGCGTGAATTGGATTTGAATCCCCACAACCGAGGAATGACGAGTGAGCAGCTGAAGCAGAAGCATGAGGAAGACCAAGCCATGATTCGACTTGGCGAGGCAGACGAACGAGGGCCTGCTATAAGCTGCCCTCCTTTCAAATTTATTCAGATGCACATTGTGCGCGAGTATCTAGACAAAGATTTCAGAGACGTTCCATTTTGCTTCCCCTACGATCTCGAACAAGTTATTGACGACTTTGTGCTGTTCTGCTTTTTCGCTGGCAACGATTTTCTTCCGCATCTTCCGTCTCTGGACATTCATGAAGGAGCTATCGGCGAAATGATTCGAATCTACAAGGAAGCCGTGTCTTCGGGTACTATCACCGGATACTTGTCAAGCCGTGGAAATTGTAATCTCGAACGTTGTGGGATCATATTGCAAGAACTTGGAAAACTTGAAGACGAAATCTTCCGACGTAGGAAGCAGAAAGAAGAGGGCATCGCAGCCAGCAAGGCCAGGCGGGAGAGAGAGCAGCGTGAGAGAGATGCAGTTTCCAGGAGAAACACTGAAGCCGTCCGTGAGACCTTCAGGTCGGACCCTGGTGGTCCCAGAGCACAGGAGGCAAACAAGTCAGCCGCCAAAGCTCTCCGGGATGAGATGCTCGGCCATACAAACAAGAAGATGAAGACTGCTTCTGGAGATGCTGCCACCGATACCGACAACAAAGAGAATGGCGACGACACGAGCATGGAGGAGTTCAATGCTGCTTTGAAGGCCTCAATGGAGAAGAAAAACATGGTGGACGAAGAAGATAAGGTCAAGTTGCATGAGTCTGGCTGGAAAGAGAGATACTACCAGAGCAAGTTCGGGATCAACATCAACAAAGACCCTTCCTTTCCTCGCAAAGTCGTCAAGAGCTTCATGGAGGGCATCTGCTGGACTCTGCTATACTACTATCGCGGGTGTCCATCATGGATCTGGTATTATCCCTACCACTATGCGCCGTTCGCCTCGGACTTTGTTGGCCTAGCTGACTTGGAGATCGTCTTTCCGGAGAACACTCAGCCTTTCTTGCCTTTCGAACAGCTCATGGCTTGCCTGCCCCCCTTGAGCAAGCATGCGTTGCCTGAGCAATACCAAGACCTCATGGTCAACCCCAAGTCACCCATCATTGACTTCTATCCGAAACAGTTTCGAGTGGATATGAACGGCAAGAAGATGGCATGGCTGGGCGTTGCTCTCCTGCCCTTCATTGACGAGGAGAGGCTGCTAAAAGTTGTGAAGCCGCTGGAGCAGACTCTGAATGAGGATGAAAGGGCACAGAACTCCAGAGGCTGCGACCTGCTCTTTGTTGGCGCTGAGCAAAATCATGCCCAGCTCGCTGACATCATGTCAAGCATCAATGGTGAATTTAAGCTCGAAGTGAGCAGCCGGACGGAAACTGCTAATGGCGACTACATCAACGATAACTTGTTTGGAACCATCGCTCGTTGGCCGCACGCGTGGAAGCTGGATGACAAGATCGAAGGCATGTCCAAACGATTGGATGGAATCGTATGCAACAAGTGTGTGTGCTGTCGGTACAAGACTCCGCCTTTCGTCGAGCATATTCCGAAGCTTTTGAAGGGAGTCATTCTTCCAGATCCTGAGCTCACGGACCAGGACCTCATCGTTGAGGGGCGAAGCATCCTTGACGGGCCGCGTGGAAGAGGAGGAGGAGGAGGAGGAGGAGGCAAGTACTATGGTTACGACGGTGGCGCCAATCAGTATCGCTCAAGCAGTCAGCACGTCAGGCAGAACCCCGGTGGCAATTATGTGGGTCAGACCCCCGTTGGCAGGATGCTCGCTATGGGCTTGTGTGGACCTGGCAATCAGCATGGAGGCCCTCCAAATAACTTCCGCCAGCAGGGTGGGCCCATGTATCAAGGAGGACAAGGCTACCACCCAAACCAGCAGCACGGAGGATACAACCGCGGCGGCGGGGGTTACGCTCCTCCCCCCCAAGGTAACCCTTACTCGATGCCGCCCGCAGCGCCATACGGCGAACCAGGGCAGGGGATGAGACTGCTCGACCAGTTCGGTGGAGGTCCTCCGGGTCCTCCGCGTGCTGACCGCCCTGGAGGGAGAGGAGTAAGTCTGCTGGAAATGTTTGGCAACGACAACAGAGCGCCAGGCGGTTATCCACCTTATGGAGGAAGGGACGGAGGGCAGCAGTACGGAGGGCATCCAGACCAGTCGAGGGGAGGGCAGGGATCTAACAACCCTTACGCTCCTCTCAGCAATCAGTGGCGACGCTAATTTTCCTTGAGTAGCTCAGCTGAAGCTTGCGTGATGAGATCGTTGAATTGAATCCGTTGATTGGAAATAATCTTGAGTTCGCTTAAAGATTTCTAGCACTCTCATCTTATTCTGTCAAACAGTGAAGACTACCACTGAGCTGTTTCACTCCAGCCTTTGAGTCCGAAGTTTCCCGGCGAATTGCGCCCGAAGCCTCGGACCAAACTTTGAACTGGTGCTAGAGTCACGGCTTCCGAATGCCATGATCATCCGGGGGGGACCCAAATATTACCGTACGGTACAATTAACTTGCCAGGTGATCCTAGAAGTTCCGAGCCGGCGGCACCCCCCACCCCGTCGGGCCGGGCGCCCGGCGGAAAGTACTAGCGGCGCCCACCGCCTCAGTCCGGGCCAGTCGGAGGGCACTTTGGGCCCGGCGCGGGGCGGCCCGCCCGGACTCAGGCCATGCCGCAGTGCCGTGTACGGTAGTACCGCGTCGGACTCAGTTGCCTTTTAAAAAAAAGGATTTGATTGGTTGTCAAATCTATTTTTGTGCAGAGCGATGGCGGGGTGGGGGGGGGGGAGGAGACTCGAGAAATTTGTGGTTGAAGATGAGAGAAATGGAGGAACCAGCGGAGCAACATAGAGTAACTCAGAGCAGAGCATGAAAGATGGTAAGAGGGGCCAGCAAAGGCACCACCAGGTTACTAAGTTACCAAGAGCAAGCACATGCAAAGAGGAGTAGCAGAGGGCAGAGCGCAGGGAGACACTCATTCACTAGCCTGACTGTCAGGTTGAAGGAGTGAACAAAAATAGTAAGGAGGTGGCGCTGCATGACGAGAAGATTTTGTCTGCAGATGTTTGCCTTGATCCGCAAGTTGTCGAGATTATACTCATGGGAGGATCAAGACGCTGATGACGCGAAGGTGCATGACCTGTGCATGACCTTGTCTTGTCGCTGATGCGAACTTGGAGGGGTTGGACGACTATTGGGACAAGGCCTACGACAACTTCTGCACGACAGACGCCATCGGGCATTATCATTGTCACTGGGGAGCATTCGGCCACATGTGGGACAACGAGTTCTGGGGAGATACAGTGAGTGACAATCGCGGAGAGGGTGGGAGGTGAACTAGGAGGAACGAGCAGACAGATGCAGGAAGGAGTCAGTCAGTCAGACAGACAGAGCTGAAAGAAGCGATAGGAGGAGGTAGGAGGATGTGTTGATGGTGGTGGTGGAGGGAGAGACACGGGAAGGAGCAGAAGGAGAAGCATAATCCTCTCCCCCTCTTCACGTGCCGCTTCGTAATTCCTGATGGCAGATGAAGATTTGCAACCACATTGATGAGACAGGATGCAACGGATTTCCCACTGGTCAGTCAGCAGCTGATCTCAAGAAAATCTACTGAGAGATGTATCGTGATACTGGTGAAAGCAAAGAATAAACACGTCTTCTCCTCGCAGAACGACTGGGCAAGTCGATTCTTCAAGGCTGAGCTCACTTGGACTTGTTTACATCGAGTCATACTCATCATCGTCGTCGTGATTGAAGAATGAGCTTCTGCGAATCAACATCAGCGTCGCGTGCTGACAGTCAAAGTCTTCACCTCGAGCTGTTGAAGGGATATCCTCCTCCTGCGTAAGGGTTGTGGTGGGAGGGTCGATACGACGATCCTGCAGGGTGACGTTAGCCTCAGAACCGGAAATCCATTTGACACCGAAGTAGGCGTAGTCATTATATCTGCCCGAACTTCGAGAATACTGGCAATAGGGTGAGCGTTGTAGGGAAAGAAACATTAAGGTGAGTGTTGTAGGGCAAGAAAGAGCTCACCGAAGTGTTCTTGATGTCATACATTCTGCGCTCAGTTGGATTGGACAGAATGGCGTTGGCTTCAGTGATCTGTAGAACATCAGGAAGGTAGGGCAAGAACACGCGCGAAGAAAAAATACCTGCTTGAATTTCCTCTCCATCCTCTCTCTTGCTTCGCCTCCAAGGTGACCAAGTTTATCGGGATGATACTTGATCGCGAGCTTCCTGTACGCTTTCTTGATGTCATCTGCTGTTACGTTGCTGCCTCCTTGACGAAGTCCCAGTGCCTGGTAGGAGAGTTGAGCACAAGAACATCCCAATGGCACGTACCTGGTAATGGTCAATCTTCGCCGAGTTCTGCTTCTGTTGCGCGACTCTGAGCTCTTCCTTGATGCAGATCGAGTTCACTGCCAACTAGTTGATTCGGTCAGTTTGTTGCCAAGTCAACGAAAATCGATTCATCACAGGGTTCTCGTTCACTTGCGGTGAAGCAAGGGCCCGTTCGTAGTCAAGGATGGCTTCGCTAAATTCCTCGATCTATGGCGGTCAGAAGGACTAACATGCAAGTGATGCTTCTACCAGCACATAGCATCTTGCTCGGCACACAAGTGCCCTGACACAGAACGAGTCTCTATCCAGAGCATTGCAGGAATCATCGATTGCTTTGAAGATTGCCCACCTGTTATCAAAAGTGATGAAGAAGAAAGAGAGGAATAAACTCTTACTTCCCAACAAAGTCCTTTGATTTCGTCTGCTACAAAACCTCATGTTATTCGATTGATTGCAGGCAGGCATATTCTTGCCTCGAAGTACGGCGACGTAGGGTCAGGAGCGTCCGATGTTGGACACTCGTCTTGTCTGAAGCTTTTCAAGACCCTCTCATTCGAGGCGCGGCTGTCCTTGAGCCTCTGCTGAGCTCGCTCCTACACCTCAACGTCATCTTTGTTCCCATCTTTCCCTCTATGATATTCCCCTCTTCAACCCAAGTAGAGATATTCAACTGATGCTTACCAAGCGCATCTTCGCCAACTCCAACTCCTTCTGTGCCTGTTCAACTTCCTTTTCAGCTCTGCAGTGTCATTCAGTACACAAAAACCATGGGCATATTCCCCCTACTTATTCAGCGATTCCGTACAAGAAGAAACCTCTTCCCTCTGTTTATGGAAGGTTTCTGCTCGCCTGCTAAGGATTGTTGCGGTAAATCCATCATTCGTGGGATCCATATCAAGTGCTTCGGTGTACAGACTTCTTGCTTGCGAGAAATTTGTTTTCGACAGCAACTGATCTCCTTCTTGGAGCTTTGCGTACATCGCCTTCAATTTCTTGCAGTCACTTTGGTACTCAGCATTATCCGGGTCTTTGCGAAGAAGCTCGCGGAAGCGAGTGATTGCCTCTACAATCTTCCCCTTGTGTGTCAATGCCTTTGCCAACATGTGCTCTACTTCAGATTTGAATTGCTCTGACAAGTCCTTCTTTGCTTGCAAATCTGTGCATGTCTTGAACAGCTCGTCGTGTCGGCCGCAAGCAAGCAGTGCCCGGCATAGCTTGAGTTTAAGATGTGTGCCATCGGAGCACTCTGTCAAGACTGACCGGATGCATGCAAGGGCACGGTCAGCTTCTCCATTAGCCAAAAGCTGATCGAATAAGCGCACAGAATCGCACAGTTTTCGGGCTTTAGGAGTATCTTCCAGTGAACTCCCTGAAATGGTTTCTGCTTCCTCGAGCAGCTGCAGAGCTTTGGTAAACTGACCCAACGCCATCGCTGCTCTGGCGCCTCGAGCGGCTGCTTTCCAGAACTTGTCGTTCAGAGACATCGCTTTCTCGCAGTCATCTAGCGCCTCAGCGAATCTTTCAAGTCTGATAAGACACGCGGCCCGATTACTCCAATACACGGCAGCCAAATGCTGCTTTTTGAAGCTTGACAGCTTTGAAAGGTGGATTGAGGAAGAATATTCTCGCATAGCCGCTTCCCATTGTTGCCTCTTGAAGTATTCGTTGCCTCTATCTTTTGCGTCTTCCGCAGACTTTTCAACCAGAGTAAGTTTGGAATCAGTCGTTTCCTTTTTCGGAGCAGGCTGACTACTTGGTTGAGCAGAGCCGCTATCCAACTTCTCCCATTTGGGTGAATTCTGAGAGAAATTTCTGGACTTTTCTAGCTCTTTCAGAAGGAAATCCTTCTCGAATTTAGAGAGGAAAGACTCTGAAGGAAAATTTTTCTTGCTTGGATCTTGATTAGCCTCGGGCTTCTGTGGCAAAGATTCCTTGGGGACACCGTCCTGCACCTTATCAGCCTAATTCAATTCAGATGAAGAAATCTACCTCAGTATCCTTGCGAGCAGCCATTGCGGCATCTGACTCCACGAAATGAAAGCTTTGTGAGTCAGGCTCATCGTGATGATCTTCGTCAGACTCCGTATCCTTAGATTGAAGGTCTCAGATTAGCGAGAGCATAGTGGGTTGGGGAGTATTCCCACCTCATCGGTAGTGACCCAAGATGTCGTTGCTTCACTCTCGTGATCGCCGTCTGTTTCATACTCTTCCTCATCATTGTGTTCCTCCTCCTCCTCCTCCTCCTCCTCCTCATCGTCCTGGTCATCACGAGCAGATGCCGAAGGGAAGGCAGAGGATTGAAAATCTTCACCAAAATCTGGATCGGCCTGTAATACCACAAATCAAAAAGGAATGGATGCACAGGAAGTGTTATGAACAAACCTCATCAAACCTGACATACGTCAAACAGTCCAGTATCCCTTTTCTAATGGCCTCGTCCGAAGGCTGCAACTTAGAAGCCTGTATATCAACCAGAAATGCCAAGCAGTCAATCTATGCATTTGCTGATATTGACATACCTTCTGAAGGTATTTCAAAGCTTCTCTGTAGCTCGATAGCTTCATGTGCGCAATCCCTGCACTGGAGTTACCAGGTAATTCGATCCGGGTCCGTCTAGATATAAGAAAGTCGCAGAACGTTGAATGCAGGTGAAAGAGAGGAACATGTCCCATCATCAAGTACCTGCTCTATATAGTGCCTTCACACAGTTTGGGTCCACCTACCAATATCAAGTAAGGCAGCAGTTCAGAACCCTACATCCAGCAACCTTCAAAACTTCATTGCAAGTTTTGATACAGTCGTGGAATTCATTCAGCTTCATCATGCACAGAGCAAGATTCAGTTTAGCCTTTTCTGATACTTCTTGCTTCTTCTCTTTGTAGCCAGGGATAGTCTGCTCTTCATCTTTCTCTAAATAAATTGCATTTTCCAAATAGTCCCCTGAGGCAGAATACAGACGCTTTGCGAGCTCATACGCTCCCATCTCAAACGAAAAATTTCCTCTTATCCTGATTTCTTCAGCCTCCTGCAGAGCATAGATGGCTTCAACGTACTCCCATGCCTCTTCTTCTTCGTTCCAGACACGGTGCTGCTTCGCATTACCAGTGAACACGAGGGTCGGTGATTTGCCCTTTCTCTCTGATTGCTTCTGTTCAGAGGAAGACTTTGGGGACTCCTTTGAGCTCCCGTTGTCCTCTTGCTCGCTTACAGGCTTTGTCTTGCTCTGAGTTTCATCCTTACGACTTGCGCTGGTCCTGGATGAAGAAGAGTTGGCGGCACCTCGCTTCTTCCTCTTAGGGCTTATTTCCTCTTCAGAGTGCTTGTCACCCGGAATGTTCGAAGCATGAGGAGAAGTGAAGAATGTCTGACTTGACCCAGCATCAGTTTCTCCCTCGGCAGGAGGTTCAGCTGAACCGTTCTGTGGTCCTACGTTGGGAGTTGAATTCTCATTTGATACTTTGAACGAGAGCTGACCCCCGCCGTCCTTGAAGCTCTGGAAGAATGTGTTGAAGTCCAGAGGGTTGCCAGGGGATCCATCCGCGGTCGAGCATGACGTTGCAGGGCTGCAGAAGGGATTGGCTGAAGGTGGGCTTGAAGATTTGAAGAATTTCAGGTTGTCAACAGGGGATCCTGTCGGGTCAGCGATCAGCAACGCAAATACACCCCACGAGTATGCATGTGATCATAACAACATCGATTAAATTCTCTGCATGCATGCACGCCGACATGTTTGTGCTCACCTTCAGTTTCTTCCACCTGGACGTGTTGCTCCTGGCTCCTTTCCGCCATTCCCGCCATAACCAAAACCACCCCTACCCCCTAGAGCGAATCTCAATCCAGATGACCACCCAAGGGTCTGCAACTACTTCATGGTGCCTTGTTCCCTCTATTTACCTATCAGTCCAATTAGAAATTGTTCTGCTTCAGCTTTGACTTTGGAACAGCGGGACTTCCGATACGTGAAGGGTGGGTAGTGACAGGCTGTACCCCTACATCCGAGCTCCAGCCCTCCTATCCCTGCAAGATTTGAACTAGTCATTCTCAACCTTGAAAATCTCTGAAACATTTTGAAATGTTTCAGATTGAACGAATTCGCGGCCAACGGATCATGACCATCGCATCGTCACTGCCGGTGGCCGTACCGATCGGACGGTAGTCGCCGGGACAGCCGGCCCCCGGGCCCCGGCTTTAGTATCCGATGATGAACTCCGAAGGCCTCCCTGTCCTTCGCTGCCATCATCGCGGGTGCATTCCGGTATGCGTCTCATTCCTTCGGCGGCGGCCACAGCGAAATGCCAGAGTCGCTGGCATGCGGCGCGCCGGGGGGATCGGACTTCCGGGAATCATTGTCCTGCGCGCAGCCTTACCGTACCGTACTAGTTAAGTAAACTTGGATATCATAGTAGTTCAGGCTGCCGGAGTGAAAGTTGGGGCCGGGACAGTTCTCTTCTCGCCGCGTGGCCTGTGCGACAGAGTGTCAGGGTCAAGCCTCCTCGCCCAACTTGGCAAGTCTCCGAGGCCGCCGCTGATTGTCCAAGTTCTGGCTTTGAGTAAAGCCTCCGAGGAAGGCCGATGATCAATGATGCCGGGAGTCGGCCCCCGACACGGTCAACGGCAGCGTTGGAACTTCCGGCGCGGCGGCGCGGCGGCCTGCCAACTTGAACTTTACTAAGTTACAGTGCAAGGCGGGCCTCCCTCAGCCTGAGCCTGAGTTTGATGTCAGTGGCCTCAATGACTACGATCATGTGATTGACTCAATTAGTATCTAGTACGCTGCCCGGTGCCACAGGCCCCAGCAGTGGGCAAGTCGGGCACTCAGGCTGACTCCCGACGCACGGCCGTGCCGTCCTGGGCAACTGGCAGTCACGCGGCCAACTGTGGCAGGCTGCCACGACCATCATAGTCACCGACGGTGAGGCTCACCGTTTATTCGGCGTGCCTCGCGAGTCGGACATACTAGCGGCTGCTAAAGATTTTCTTGACAAGATTGAATCACTCAGCGTGCTATGCACCGCCGCGCTGTTGATTATTTCAGCATCAGGTCGCTGCTGCATACCGTACATCAAAAACTTTCTTCCCGGTCCACTACTGAGCGAATCACATTCCACCGGGCTTCTGACTGACATTGGTCTGGCATCTGTCTAGGGAGCTGCAAATTTCAACAAGAAGGACTGAGTGTGGATCGATTTTAGAACACATCTCTTGCTGTCGTATCCTTTGAGCCCATAGTCTATGCCTCAGTACAGAGCACCTGTAAATAGATTTGACCTTTCTGCTTTGCTTCCTGAAGCAGCCTGAAAGTCGAAACACGGAAAGTTTCCCAATGAATGCATCACATAATCTGATATCAACTAAAGCTTTCGATGCTTTCACCTCAGAATACGATGATGATCTGCTAATTTCTTTTATTCCCAAACCTCTTGGTTGAATCATTTGAGGCTGGTTCTATTGGTCATTCCTAGGAGGTTTTGCACGATTCGGAGGAGTCTTTGAGAAGTCATACCCGTTGAAATCCCGAGAGTATGGCCCTGGTTCTGGCTTTCTTCTTCTACACACTCCATAACTTCCTGTAAAAAGCAACCAGTGAATTTCCTTTCACTGTGATTCAATAATTGGAATACCAATATGAATCTTGCCCTTCTTTGTTCGCCTATCATGCCGTCCCCAAAGATCTGCGGATATTTGAATCAAGAAAACAAAACAACGTCAGTCGAACGCTTACAGTTTGATTGCAACCCGGAGGCGATCCCAGTTCCAAAAGCTGTGAGGGAGCCCAGCCAGCTGCCAACAAAGCCCACGGCCTTCATGGTCGAAGCAAACTTGATGCTCGGGACACTTCTTACAGCATCGAGCGCTGAAGACAGAACAAAATAACTCATTCGGAGGGAGGAGGCCTGCGCGCATCGCCCGACCGTAAGCGACGCCGCTGCCATTTTTTCTTCTCTCACGGCGGTGTGATGCTTTCACTCAAATACATTGCTGTCAAACCCGCCTCGTTCAACCTGATTTCAAGACGGCGCGGGCCCGTACTTCTCCGAGTCGAATCCTCTGTCGCTCCGGAGTGCGACAGGGTGGGGTGGTCTTGTATGCCTTGATGGGATGACACAGGGGTGGTCAAGAGGAGGCCGCGACTGTTGTTCTCTTAGTCGTTTCCGTCAATGCAGGGTGGGTGGGTGGTCCGAAATTCGTATGAGGTGCTTTGTTGTAAGGACTGAATGGGTGGTAGGCAAAGTCACTCCCTTAGAGATGGGTAGGGTAGTAGAGGATGAGGAGTGGTCGAACCAAGGGTGGGGATGGAGCATGGTATGGCAGGGGTGCATACATATCATATCAGGGGTGGCAAAGGTCTCGTGCACTGCAGACCACTGAAATCATTTAGAAATTTAGGGTAGGGTAGATCACCCTACCCTGACTATCTACCCTACCCTGATCTGCCCCAACATGTTCGGCGAACACAAATAAAAATCCTCCGGCCCACCCCCGCAATTTTTTTTTTGGAGTACCCCAAATTGGTCGAGAAATCTGGGGTCACAACTTCTAGGCTCCAGTGAATTCGGTGGGGGTGGTGAGACCATTCACCCCCCTCATTCATAGGTTATTTCACCGGTGATCAAGGCTTTGCCGCGTAGCAAAAGTTTTTTTGAAACAGTTGTACCACCCTCTGTCAGCCACCACCCCTAGAGTTTATAATAGCTGATGACTGAGAGGACACCCTACCCCGCCTGATTCAATTCCAGGACCCCACCCTCATATTACAAATGTTCCGAATTACTATTTAACCCATCCATGTGGTACCAAGTCCATCAAATTTCATCACAACTCAGAATGATTTGAACCCAAACCCGTACATCCATTAGACGATATCATTTAAAATCGACCGGTGCAATCGTAAATATTTCAAATTTTAATTATATTTCAACCGAAGTATTTCGCTGTACCCACCCTGTCACTTTTGAAATACCACCCCACCTAGTTTCAACAAACCCTTTTTCCCCGCACAGCGGAACGTTGACCCACATTATTTCAACCACCCTACCCTCTGGAACATCGAACAAGTACAGTACCCTTTAGCGAAGATATATAGCCTTGTCGTTTTGCATGCTAGATAGGGATTAGATCAGCTCTGCCCTCATAGGCAAGAATCGCATAAAGGTACCCACCCCATTGATTGAATGTCTCGGTCGTAGGGGTGCGTATGACCCAATCTATTGGAAAAGCCCTAGGAATGTATTGACCCGTTGACCCTTCCACGCGCCACTCCTCTCCAAACTCCTCGCGGTAATGCAGCGGCATTTGTGATGCGGTTTTCGTGTTCCTCTTCTGGTTTGAAAGGAATTGGAATCACAAAATGCAGATTCACAGTCGATGATCCCATACTTGCTGTGTTGGCTATTTCTTTGCTTGATGTATCGATCGTGTATGTATGAATACGATCAGTGCAACAACACTGCTCAAAATTTGAATTTCGCTGGATTCGAATTGTTTGTTGTTTCACCTTCCTCTCTTCTTCTTACCATCACCTCATCGCAATGAGATGTGTTCCATTATGACCTTTCTCTTTGGAAAAGGTTATTCTTTGAAAGTGCTTATTTTATTGTTTCGTACTCGTTTTTGTCCTCTATTGTGAGATTTTTTCTGATCCTTAATGAACAGGAACGCGTGAGATCTGAAGAAGCGACTGCTGTTGTAAACAGTTCAGTCTTCCTATCAGGTGCTACCTACATCAATCAGCTGGGTCAGGACAATTTGTACTCTACAATGGCAACACCGGCCATAAACTATGCCGCGGCTGCAAAGCTCCCACCACAAAACCCACAGGCTATGCATCCACACCAGATGCAGCATCATCCACAACAGATGCCTCCTCAACAAATGCAGCAAATGCATGCAATGCAGAATCGTGGCGAAGATTGGAGGAACCAATTGCAAGCCCCGCCCAGGGACAACCGATTAAAAACCACAGTATGCTCGCCAATTTTCGAGATGCCTTGTTCTGACGACAACATGGCAGGATGTCACGGCGACCAAAGGAAACAGCTTCGAGGACTATTATTTGAAGCGTGAACTTCTTATGGGCATTTTCGAGAAGGGCTGGGAAAATCCATCTCCCATCCAGGAGGAGAGCATTCCCGTTGCTTTGGTGGGAAGAGATATTCTTGCTAGGTGCCTTTGCGAATTTTATCTGAAGTAGATGCTCATCTGAGTACAGGGCCAAGAATGGTACGGGGAAAACGGGTGCTTTCACCATTCCTACGTTGGAGAGGATTGACTCGAAGCTGGAGGCAATTCAGGCGCTCCTTCTTGTTCCTACTCGCGAGCTTGCTCTTCAAACAGCACAAGTGTGCAAAGAATTGGGGAAACATTTGGGGATCGAGGTTATGGTTACGACTGGCGGAACCAGTCTGAAGGACGACATTATGCGTTTGTATTCTACCGTGCATGTTTTGGTAGCTACTCCTGGGCGTGTGGTGGATCTGGCGAACAAAGGTGTTGCTGACCTGAGCAAGTGCAACATTATGGTTCTGGATGAAGCAGACAAGCTGCTTTCTCATGATTTCATGCCTATTTGTGAGGAGCTCGTGACCAAATATATGCCAAGGAACTGCCAGAAGATGCTCTACTCAGCGACTTTCCCAGTCACTGTTGCGCAGTTCAAGGACAAGTACATGCGAGAGCCCTTTGAGATCAATCTCATGGAGGAATTGACTTTGAAAGGTATTACTCAATTTTATGCCTATGTGGAAGAAAAGGCCAAAGTCCACTGCTTGAACACCCTTTTCTCGAAGCTTCAAATCAACCAGAGCATTATTTTCTGCAACTCCTTCAACAGGGTAGAGCTTCTTGCCAAGAAAATCACTGAGTTGGGATATTCTTGTTTCTACATCCATTCCAAAATGCAACAGGCACATCGCAACCGTGTTTTCCATGACTTCAGGAACGGAGCGTGCAGAAATCTGGTGTCTTCTGATCTTTTTACACGTGGAATTGATATTCAGTCTGTCAATGTCGTGATCAACTTCGACTTCCCGAAGAACTCCGAGACTTACTTGCACAGAGTGGGTAGGAGTGGTCGCTTCGGTCACTTGGGTCTTGCGATCAATTTGATCACCTACGATGATAGGTTCAATTTGTACAAGGTGGAACAAGAGTTGGGAACGGAAATCAAGCCTATTCCTCCTGCAATCGACAAGGGATTGTATTGCGCTTAAATGCAATATATGTGAACTACACATTGGAGCGCGAAGATGGAATTCTCTGTTGTAAATATTGAATTTTCTGCCATGAAGGTACAAACGCTGCTCTTTTTACATGACATCAAACATTAAGCATGGAAAATGTCAATTTTTACTGGATAAGGGTTGATTAATGGTTCAACATTCTTTGATGTATATATCCCAGCATTCTATTCATCTACTGCTATGATGATAGATTGATGGGGGGGAGGTAAACCCTCTCCGGGCTGCGCTGGTGTGTGCGATGACGGTTCAATTCCGTCACGGCCCATGTCATGTTGATTTCAAGATTTTACTCGACATTCCTGTGGGACATCCAGCAGTCTGGACTCTTGAACGGATTTTCAGCTACACATGCATCTTCACTGAGGCAAACAACCGAAGCCTCGTTAAAAGGGTTGTGAGAGGTTTCTTTGAGCAGAATTGTTCCTGATAACAAATCAGGTATGTGGCACTCCACAATTGTTGCATAAACTGACCGGAAAAGATTCTTCCCTCGTGATTTGGGAGTTGAAGAATCAATGTACCCTGACTGTACAGGCACAGAAAGCCACCGGCAGGAAATTCGGAGACCTCCACATCTAGGGTCCTTGGCAATTGGACCGCCGTTGTGTGCAAGCTGGCATGCTTGACCGTTGGCCCCCACCACTCAGGATAAATGTCAAGTCTCGGATTCTTGTCCAACAAGATCCAATCCGAAGGGTAGTAATCCTGCCAACCTCGTCAACCCCGACAAGTGTCCTCAGGCTACTTGAGAGCGACATGCGAGCTGTACTCCTTGCACTGTACGTGGTAGTTCACTCTCGATATGTAGGACGTGTTTGTAGAGGCGCAGACATTCCTGTTTTCCTCCTTTCCTCCCTGCTCGCACGGTCCGAACGGGCCGTCTGCAAGAGATTATCCCCTGGATCACATCATACCGGCCTCGTCACCAGGGTTCACAGGCGCTCGAGGAGCGACCGTCAAAGTTTGATCGGACGCTAGATACGCTGCCCACCAGCTGAATGTGCTGCTTCCCGAGATCTGCGCACGGCCAGTCAGAGGAGAGAGTAGCTATAGACAAGCTCTGACAACGATCGCATCGCAGCGTGACAGGAGGTACATGTCGACCAGCGGCTCGTCGCATGTGATGTCCATCTAGTAATACTGTGATCTCACAGTACATGGCTGATTGTTTCACAAGCTCCACCTTACAGGCTGGCGATGTGTGGAAAGGAGAGAAGTGAACGTTCTCGAATCCCCTGAAAGCTCCTTGTGCCCAACTGCAGCCAATCACACTGAGACAAACTCAGGAGGAGGGTACTGGGGATCGTCTGTGACGACAAGGAATGCAACAGCTCCTCGGAGCACTCTCCTCAGCGTCTGCACAGCTCGACTGATGTACCCTGCAAGCATCCTCGATGTCACTCCTGCAGGTGCGAGGAAGGAGAAAACCACTGACCTGCGTCATGGGACCAGGAGTCGAACATGTGAAATTCCCATGTCTTGTCGCCTCGCCTCACGTGTATCCCTACGATCTGCTGGTGTTTGCGCCTGAGGTCTAGCAGGAAGGCTTCTCCTTTCTCTCGCACAGTAGAGGGAAACACGAACACCTCACCCCTGAGCTTCCCTCGCCCCAGCCCCTCGAAGTACTTGAAGGAGAAAGAGGTCTCCACGCGGACGTGCGTCTGGTTGGAGATCATGCACAGTGACTCGTCGTACCTCCCCCATCCCTTCTGCTTCTTGTAGTCCCTCCATGGCATCGAATTCGCGACCTCGTCCTCAATGTCCAGCCTGAACCAGCGGGCAAACGCCTCGATCCGTCTCCTGCTGAGGTCATCGACTCTCCTTGCCCCTCCCTCCTCCCGCATGAAGGAGTTGTTGAGCGTGAGCAGCGGGCGGAAGCCATAGAAGTCGGCCAGTCCTATGAGAGCGGCATAATCGAACATGAGGTTTCCGAGGAGACCGGGCAACGAGCTTGTCATGTAGCCTCGTCCCTCCCCATCCCTACCCCCCTCCCCAGCTCCTTCACAAGCAGCGGAGAGCAGGAGGAGCAGGAGGAGCAGGAGGAGAGCGGAGGAGAGCATCGGCGGGCGATGCGGGCGGGAGAGATGCGGGAGGAGCCAACAGCGCATGTCGGCGCCTCTACCCCATTGCTACTGAGGGTACCGAAATCTGTCGGGGCGAAAAAGTGAAGTCAGGATATGGCGGGGGGGGGATGGCGGGGGTGGTCATGCTGGTGGTGGCAGTGATAGGAGGAGCGAAAGTGACGGCAGCAGGAGGAAGGAGCGACATGGTCGAGAGCGCCGCCATGTTTCATGGGCTGAGCATGATCATCCAGTGTAAGGGCCCGATGCAGCAGTGCATTCTCAAAGCGCAGGTGGCGGAGAATGGCGGGAAGGTGGTGGAGGCAGGGGAAGACGCGAATATCGTGTGCTGCGAAGCGGACAAGAAGAGAGATGAGATCCTGTCCCTGCGCTTCGGGGAATGCTCAGGGGCAGAGCTGGAGGGGAGGCTGCAGAAGGAGGGGGTGCGTGCCGTCAGTGTCAAGTGGCTGTATGCATGCTTGAAGCAGAAAGAAAGGATCGACTGGAACCCTTTCATCCTTGTAGAAGAGGAAGCTGCTTGTAAGGGCAAGGAGGAGGGCGCGTCGGACAAGGTTGCCTGCGCTGCCTCATTCTGAGCTGTTTAAGTCCCCGTGCCCATGGCAGGTGTGTGGGAAGAGGAGGAAGGAGGAGGATCAAGGGAAAGAGGGGGATCAGGAGGAAAGGGTGCAGCAGAAGGCTGTCAAAGTAAGTCTACTTGTGCGCCATGGCTGGGAGATTTGATTGTTGTGTTGCAGTTAGCGCCGATCTTTGGGCCCAAGAAGACGGCAAAGGACCTGGTCAACGACAAGCAAGCAAGCCTGCTCATGTGGAAGTCTTGTGACTTTCAAGGAGCTGAGAAGGTTGTTGTTGTCTGCGTTGAGACGCGGGAAACAAGTCTGAAAGAGGCTCATGGCAGATTGCTGCGTTCGACCTCGATGGCACTTTGATCAGGACAAAGAGCAGAAAGAAATTTCCTCAGAACTTCGACGACTGGTAATAACATGCTGGCTGCTGAATCGGTTACGACGAGAGAGATGATCGAGATGGAGATGATGATGGAAATGATGCAACCATTGACAATAGATGGGGTTGGACTTGTTGTTGTTACTCGGCTGGGGTGTGTTGAAACCTGTTGGTGGTTAAATGGGAGAAGGAGGAAGAAAACGACAACGATGATGATGACTGAAGGTGCTTGATCCGTCCTTCTATTCTCAAACCGAAGTTGCAATCGCTCGTCAAGGATGGATTTTGCATTGTGATCATCAGCAACCAGAAAAGGATCGACAAGAATCCAGATTACGAGGCAGGGGTCGAGCATAAGGTAAAAGAATCTCATGGTCTGTGCTCCTTGTTGATTCCGATCTCTCAGATCTCGTCGATCCACTCGGCCCTTGGCTGCCCTCTGATCTTCTTTGCCTGCTATGGCTCGGACGAGAACCGAAAGCCAGCTCCCGGTGTGATGACGTTGCACTCTGAAAGTTGTTGTCAGTTCGATGTTGATGATGGGGATGTTTCTCTATTCGATGCATGACTGCTGCACATTGAACTTTGATGGCGATCTAGCGAACCGTTCAAGAGCGCGCACGCTATGAGGGGCGAAGCATATTTGAGCAGCATCCTGACTGAACATCTGTATGCAGGGATGTGGTTCAAGACAGTGGAGAAGATGAAAGAGCTCAAGGCGAGATCAGAGCCGTTGTCGTTGACATTCACACGTTCATCTCTTGCCTTCAGGGCTGCGAAGTCAACGTCAAAGGCTCTTTCTACGTCGGGGACGCAGCCGGTCGGCCCCTCGGGTACGTTGGATTGACGGGGAGGAGAGGAGGGAGGTGTTGATCAACTAGGAACAGTGAGAGGCCATGGATTGAAGCAAGGGAGAAAGATTTTTCCGACAGCGATCGCAAGGTTAGTCTGCTAGTGTTGATGCTTATCTCCTCTTGTTTCCTCGGACTCTTACTCTTGTTATCTCCTTTTGACTTGCTCCCCCTCTCCTCCTCTCTTCCTCTCTTCCTCTCTTCCTCTCTTCCTCTACTCCTCTACTCCTCTCTTCCTCTCCTCCTCTCCTCCTCTCCTCCTCTACTCCTCTACTCCTCTACTCCTCTCCTTGGCGCTGCTGTGTTCCTCCCTTCAAAACTCACATTTCCCTCTTTCAGTTTGCCCTCAATGCAGGTATCGATTTCCATACCCCGGAAGAATTCTTCATGGGACGTCCGTTAGAGGCATGAAAATCCTCCTCCTCGCTGCAACGTTTCCGTCCTCCTCCTCCTCCTCCTCCTCCTCCTCCTCCTCATCCTCCTGTTTCTCTTCCTCCTTCTGCTCTGCTTTCTCCTCCTCTTGCTCCTCCTCAGCCTCTTCACCCTCTGCCTCCTCCCCCTGCTCCTCCTCTTCGCCCTCTGCTGTCTTCGTGGCTCATGGTCTCCCTTTTGCCTCCAGGAGTTCACATTCTCTGGCTTCAACCCTGCCGACGTGATGCAGCCAACGTCAGACCATCCTCACACCTCCATCCTCCTCCTCTCTTCTTTTCCTCTCTTCCTCTGCTGCTCTCTCCTCTGTCCTGTCCTGTCCTGTCCTGTCCTGTCCTGTCCTGCGCTCTGCTCTGCTCTTCTTGTCCTCCCCCCCTCACTCTCCATCCTTCCCGTCAATGTCCTCTCTTGTTGTCATCTTCTCCTCCTCTCTCCTCCTCCTCCCTTCTCACTTGCTCAGCAGGGCTACACCAGTCTTGAACTTTCCCTCCTCAAAGGAAGTCGTCATCATGGTCGGCTTCCCTGCTTCTGGCAAATCCACCTTTGCAAGGAGAGGTGGAAGAGCTGGCGAGGGAGACGAAGGGAGGGAGCGAGAGAGCGAGGGGAGGAGAGGAGCGAGGGAGGGAGGGAGCGAGCGAGCGAGAGTGGGGGGATGGGGAGAGGGGATGAGAGAGAGAGAGAGATCCTGGTGTCGTCTGATTGTAATCGTAGAGATGGAGAGTAGAGGATACAAGTGGGTCAACCAAGATGAGCTCGGCACGAAGCAAAAATGTGCGTCAGTCGCTCAGCAGGCACTGGATGAGGGCTGGTGAGGAGAGGAAGAATCGGAATGATGAAGATGAAGCAGAGGGGATGGTGATGGTGATGGAGTGATGGTGATGGTGATGGAGTGATGGTGATGGTGATGGAGTGATAGTGATGGTGATGGTGATGGTGATGGTGATGGTGATGGTGATGGTGATGGTGATGGTGGTTGTGGGAATCATTGGAAGGAAAGCAGCTAAATTCTAGTTCATTAGCTCGGTGGTCATCGACAAGCTCAATCCCAAAGAAGAGGTGAGGAGGACGAGGAGGAGGGAGCAGCGAGTAACTCTTTTTGTAATCCTTCTCTGTGCAGGACCGACGACCATGGATTCAACTTGCTCAAAGGAACAAGGTTGTATCCCCAACTATACTGCCACACACTCCTTTCCCCCCTCTGTCTCCCTGCTCCTCCTCCTGCCCCTCCTGCTCCTCCACCCCCCCTCTCCAACCCCTCCCGGCGGATAGTCCACTTCTTTTCGTTCTCTTCCTCCCGTCTCACTCGGTTGCAGGCTGAGGCTCGATGCGTGTGGATGGACACGCCGATGGAAGTTGCTCTGCATCTCAACAAGGTCCCTTCCTCCGTCCCCCTCTCCGTCCTCCCCTGCGTCGTCTCCTTCCTCCTGTCCTTCCGTCCCCTCCCTCCTCCCCTCAAGTCTCCACCTTCCATGTTTCACGTTCACCAGCTCCTTCCTCCCCTTTGCTCTTCTCATCTCCTTGATGGCAGATCCGTTCAATGGCTCGAACGAATATCTCACCCATCCCTCCACACGTCTTCCACAACTTTAAGGTATACCACCCCCCGCTCTTCCTCTACCTCTACCTCTACCTCTACCTCTTCCTCTTCCTCTTCTTCTTCTTCTTCCTCTCCTCCTCCCCACCAGTCCCCCTCTTCGCCTTCTTTTCTCTTCACTTCCTCTCTGCATTGATCTGCTGCTCTTGCCTCGCTCACAAGCGGCAGAATGATTTCCAGGAGCCTCAAGAATCTGAAGGACTACGAGAAATCATTCGCATCCCGTAATACTGTCCCTCCTCCTCCTCCCCTGCCCCCATCTCCCTCCCTCCCTTTCTCTCCACCGCCCCCACTCACCCCAATGCTTCCTCCCTCCCTCCCTCCCTCCCTCCCTCAATCCATCCATCCTCCGCCCCCCTCCCTCCCACTGTTTATCCTCCCTGACCTCTATCCTTCAGATTCTGCTACAAGCCGAAGAGCAGCAGAGAGGAGACCATGTTTGCTTGGAGGTTGTGAAGGACTTGAATTCACTCAACATCAAACTTCTCTCCTCTCCTCTGCTTCCTCCGCATTGCTTCTCTTACTTGTCGGACGTGATGGGGAAGGAGGCGCAGACAGAGATTCCGCACATGTTGCTTCCTACAACGAGAGTGAGTAGCAAGGATGCAGGTGACGCTGACGTCAAGCGCGATGGTGACAAGGGAGGACGATGAGGGAGGAGAGGGAAACAGAACGAGGAAGCGAAGGCCAAGGAGGCGGAGGAGAAAGAGGGGCAGGGGAAGGAGGAGGGAGGAGGGGGCATACCTCTCTGTATCTTGAAGTATCCGTTGTCTCCCCATGCGAATCCCCTGGGAGTGAACTTGAGCTCTTCCACCACCACGCCCTCCTCCTTCCCCTCCTCCTCCTGCTTCTCCTCTCATCCTCACCAGCTGTTCTTGATGGTCCAGTAGGGGATGCCTCCCTCTGTCCCGTACCCAACGGCGAGCACAGCATGATTGACCTGCAAGTAGAGAAGAGGATCAGAGCGGTTAAGCTCACTTCCCCCCTACCCCCTCACTCCCCATCATCTTTCCTGACCCATCACTTTCTTCCCCTCTCTCTCCCTCCCCTTCTTGTCCTCTCCTTCCACTTTGATTGCTCTGCCTCCATCCCTTCCTCACCTTGTCAGGAGTTCCAACGCACGTGGGGGAGGAGTAGACGCCGGAGGAGTAATGGCGGAGATCAGCAACAACCTGCCCACTCACCATCAATGCTCTCCCTCCTCTCCTTGCTCCTTGTCCTCCTCCCAACCCTGCCACCTGTCTCTTCCTCTTCTTCCTCTTCGTCTCTCCCTTTCCCAACCTCCAACCGCTTCCTCCCGATCCTCCTCGCCACCGTTGTTCCCTCACCTCGAACGCAACACTGATGGGGTTGTGCGATCCGACGACAGTCTTCATGCTGCAGGAGCATGAGGGAGCCGAAGCAAAGGCGAGGGCAGCACCTGATCTCGTCTCCCGGCGTGAAGTTTGCGACTTTCGAAACCTTCTTCCTTGTTAGCCAACGCCACACAAACAAGAGATTTCTCTGATCTGCTCCTCCCTTCCTCCCCCTCCCCCTCCTTCTCACCTTGGCTCCAACGCTCCATGGCTTTCCAACAGGATCAAAGGCGCAGGGGCCTCCAGTCACGTTGCAATGTCCATCGCCGCACACGTACGGGTATTCTTCCATCTTGCTCAGCCCGCCGTTGTACATGATGTACTCGAAGGCCTGGGACGGGAGGCCGCCGTTGCATCCGTTGTTCTTGAAGTCTGCCGCGCAGTCCACGAGCTGCTGCTCGCTCAGCAGGACCATCTCTCCTGTCTTGATGGCATGCAGAGACTCTAGAGCTGCTGCCGTCGAGAAGGTCCAACAACTACCGCAAGTGCCCTGGTTCTTCACCATCGACACACACGAGGTCTCGCCGCACGTCTGGTTCCTCCAGTCGAACTCATCCGCCACTATCCCCATCTTCACGAGCTTCTCCACTGGCGTCGTGACAGTCGCGCTGCAGTTCTGCTCCGCCATGAGTTTGGCATGCTTGAACTCCTCCCAGGTCAGGTCGCTGTACTGGTTCAGCGCCGCCCTCCAGGTAGTGCCGGGACGAGAGTTGATCGCCTCCACCTCCTTGAGGGACACGCAGAAGGACGCGAGTCTTCTGAGGTAGGTGGTATCGTCCTCGTACACCTTCGAGTGCTTCTTCGTCCATCGCTCAAACTCTCTCAGGCATCGACCCTTAGACCTGCAGGCATCTGTCAGCGCGGGCCTCTCGCTCGCTCGTAACGACGAGCGCGATCATGTTGAGGGTGTTGAGAGACATTGAAGCTGCGCAAGGACATGCAGATGTTGTGTAGGTGTAGACATGGAAGTACCCATCACATGGATCTCATGCCAACAGCGAAAAGGGCGCATTGTCGAGAACAAACCTCGTGTCTCAGAACTAAAAACATACCAACTTGCAAGCAAACTATCCATTCATCGTCGAATAAGTTGTTCTCAAGGCAACCAAACACAAAGAACACATCGAGTCAACCGCAGTAGCAACTGAGCAACCTCGAGGACAAAGTAGCGTTTCAGTCCCCTATGGTCAGACAGGGACGCCTCTGCCATGACAGCGCATCCAAGGAGAGGAATAGAGGAAGAGGAGGAGGACGAGGTGAGGGGAGGGTAAGCATCTTCACCTCATGGGCACAGCAGACGTCGCTACCGCCATGGCAAGCAGTAACAGCAGGGGCGTGAAGTGCATCGCCATATCCTCGGTGCAGAGGCCCATAACCTGCTACTCCTCTGCCTTTTATTACCTTCGCTCTCCGATCGCCGCCGGAGCCGGGCGCGGCCCGGCGGCCTACGGAGTACCGTACCGTAGTACCGCTACCAAGTAAGACGGACCGGGTCCGGTCCGCCGGGGTCCCGGCCCTGCTCCCGGTCGGGCCTGACCGTTGGCACCCGGCGTGGCCCGACGAGGCCTGACTCTGAACGGCGGGCCCCCCCGAGACCGGCGGCCGACTCGGGCCGGCGGCGCCGGCCGGGCCCCGCCGCCGGGCCGCGGCCCGGGGAGGGAGTCCGTCGACTGAGAGACCGCGGATGATATGGTACAGTAGTATTTAGAACTCCAAGTTAGCGACGCCGCGGCCTCCGAGACTCACGAGTCACCGGCGACGCCCCCTAGCAAGCTGAGAGACCTGGAGGAGCCTTTGGACGTGACCAGCCAAGTCAGCTGGGGAGGGAGGAAGGCTGTTCAGGTACTCGACTCGCAGGAAGCCGATGTTGAGCAAGAGCTCGTAGTCGAGGATCTTGGGGCTGGAGCAGGCAACGAGGAAGAGAGCGAACCGTGACAGGAAGAGGGCAACGAAGGTAGAGCCTCCCCCGCAAACTCCGACATATCCCTCGCTCCTCATGGCAGCAGCAACTTGTTCCTTCAAGCTCATCTTAGGGAGGTCTGCAAGCAAGGGATGAAATCCCCATTCTCTCAGATGGCTGGCAACAGAGGGCAGGTACCGCAGCAACTTGTCAACCTCAGTTGAAAGTTGTCCTCCACATGGAAGTTGCCCAGGAGGACCTGTCTTGCTGTGATGGAAGGCTGGATGTTGAGGTTGGATCGCACAAACTCTCGGAAATTATGGTAGAGCAGGGATCGCCCCGCGTTACAGTACGCGTTCACGTCCAGGTCGTCCAGGGCCCTGCGGGTCCATGCTTGGCTCTCCCCATGGACGTAAGAGTCACTGCAGTGATCCGTCCAACGCCCGACCCCAGCGAGGACGCGAGGAAAGCATAGGAGGGATCGGTTGTGAGCTGCGAGGTCGGACAAGTCGAGCAGGCGACGAGAGGTCATCATGAATGGGACGTTGCCAGGGCAGAACTTGTTCCAGATCTTGTCGCACCAGTGGGCCCACGAAGTGTTGTGGCTCCGCTGCCAGTCGCAGGACCAGGGGAGGGGGCTGACCAGCCTGATCTTGATGCCGAGCGAGGAGGTGGAGGACTGCATGAAGCTCGCCAGCAGCGCATACCACGGGAAGAACGAGTCGGCCACCAGCAGGCTCGGGTTGGCCCAGTTGTACTCCGTGACAAACACAGCAGCGTCCCCTCCCAGGTCGACCCACGTGGCGTTCCCTGGCACCGTCCCGTTGACTGTGACGGGGCTCCAACGAGGGCCGTAGCCGCCATGTCCGCTCTGAAGGGAGACAGCCCAGTCTAAGGAGAGGGAGGAGACGTCGTCCGGATGCTGGAAGTAGAGGAACCTTCCTCCCTCTATCACCCCGTCCGCAGAGGTTGCGGTAGGCACAGGAGCGCGACTTCCAATCCACCCCTGTGCAGGATCGTGAGCTATGGGAGGACCGAGGAGGAGGAGAGGACGCGATGCTGAAGGGCCGATTCTTGTCCGTGAACAAGCTCGCTGGCAGCTCTGACAGTCGGGCAACGTCTCTGCTCTGTTCGTACTTGTACCAGACTATCATGGAGATGGCGATGGTGCTGTAGACCAGGAGGAGGGACCCCTGTCTTCGACTGAACATCGGTATGCTAGTGGGAGGTGTGGAGCAGCAAGGCGTTAGATGTCATGAGCTGCTGGGAGGAGCTGGGTATGAGTCTGAGGACCAACTTTAGAGGTCAAAATCAGATGCACTGCGGAGTCGGTGAGGTATCAGCGTGCTGGGGAGGAGGGGAGATGAGAAGAGGAGGTGAAAGAGGCGGAGAGATCAGGGGGACGAGGGGGAGGGGGAAAGGGGGCGGGGAGCAGGAATTTCCTAGGAGCTGGAAGGGACTACTCCAATCCATTGTTGCTTTGGAACCGAAGTGTAACGAGATCTGAAATTGGCTAGAAGACAACCCCAATACAAGACTGCGTGTATGGCCGAGATATCGTGGGCTATCTGCTGTTTGAGAACACCATCGTTCCTCAATCAACAAACAACTGTTGGTTTTTCATGAAGTCTGCCATCCGGCACTGACGTCACAGTATCGTGAACATGTACAACAGCAACAAGAAGCTGCGATGAATGCGAATATCTGTAAATTTGATCATGTGATCTCCTCTTTCATGTAGTTCTTATGCCTTCATCTCCATCTCACATACTCCAGCATTCATTCTTTCGATGAGATATGGCGCCGTCAGCCAAGAAAGAAACGAAGCAGCGTTTCTCGTCCACGCTATATATCCTGTTCCACTCCCTCCCCCTTTTCGTCTTCGTCTATCTGCCCTCGCTGTACCTCTCATTCCCCCTTCCTCCCCTCCTCTCACACTCAGCCAGTAATCGAGATTCGGCACACTCAAACCTTCCGAGTACCTTCCGTCCCTTGCGTGGCTCCTGCTCGATCGAAGCTACAGACTGGGGGAGAAACTCGACTTGTGGACTCGGTTAGAGCAAGGGGTGCGAACTCCACGAGGAGCTATCATGTCACGTACATCATTCACGATGCGTGTCCATCTCATCTCAACCTCTACAAGTCTTCGGTCACCTTGGCAGCTTCAAGGTAAGGCCGGTGATCTGGGCGAACTTTTGCATCGGGAGTTATGGACAGGCTCTATAGCAGCAGGGTGATACATGAAACATTTATCGATGAAATCTGTCTGAATATATCCACCACGGCACATTCAAACCGAACCAGCACGCATGCTCACGCTGAATACACCGCCTTTAGCGCCTTCTGCTCTTCGTCCACCTCCTTTTGCGCATCTGCCACCTCTGCAGTGATGGAGGGGTCGACGGCTGGAGGAGCAGGATCATCCACTGACGTCTTGTCGATGGCCTCGGCCACAGAGATCAGAGCATCGGTCGTCTCCGTGCTCAACAGCATCAGCGCCATGCGCGCTTGCCGGATGGTTCCGAACATGGTCGGCTCTGTGGTCGGCTCCTTTTTCGGGAGTGGGGTGAATGAGCGGGGATGAGGGGAAACAAGGGGGAAACAATGCGGCCAGTGGGATTCGGGAGAAACGAGGGCGTTGGGGAGAAGGGGCGAACATGGCGGAGGAGCCGCGATGAGCGATGATGCGACGGAGTTGAGCTGTTGAGGCGATGACGTCCATGGCGTCTCCATAGATCAAGAAAGAGCGTGATATGATGATGATGCTCATTCAAATTTCTACTCTCCTCCTTTGCCTGTGGGCCTCCTTCATCGTGGTTGCTCAAGGTGCTCTGCTCGAGCACCATGGAGCCACGTGCAAGTGCGAGCATGGTCTTACCTCTCAACTCCTTGAACTACATGCGCATACACTCCTAAGGTTTTTGTCCCCTCCTTCTGTTCACATTGTCCTTACCTGCACGTCCTTACATGGTGCATGTTACAGGAGACTTCTGCTGCAGACACGGAGGGATCTTCATGTGAACAACTTTGTGGGCCTGAGAGGAGGAGAATCAGGAGGAGAAACTGGTTTAACATGTGTCGCGCAAGCTTCAGTCACCAGTCTGAATGATTTGTGCATGCAGGCGATCAAGGCGAAAAATCATGTAATGGGGGGAAAGGAGAGGAAGAGGACGGGGAGGACAGGCAGAAGAAAGAGGCCTCGAGAGAAAATTTGCAGCAGATGTATGACGACTCAGACATCATCTTCTTGAAATCCGATGAGGTCTCTGGTAGAATCCGATTCCTTGACGCGTCATTGACGTCACTCCCAAGGTGTTGGTGGATGGGTCCGAGCCTTCGGACCCCAACACCACATACAGGGTGGACATGTTTGACGAGCAAGACGACGGTGTTGAGCAAGAGACTGACGACGATGACGATGTTGGTGTCCTCAAGACTCTCGAAGACGATGCAGCTGCATGCATAGCAAGAGCAGGACCGTAAGTACCGCAACACAAGCTTCTTCTGGTGACCTTGCTTGCACAGGGTTTACAGTCTGAGCACAAGTCCATATGACAGCTCCAAGTTTGCGTGTGGCGGAGGAGATGACAGTCTGTCGCTATGGCAATACAAAGAAAGAGGAGGCCTGAAGGAGATGAAAGTCGAAAACAGCACTTTCACGGTACTGGATGCCAGATGAAAATATCAAATTGTTTGCTGACTGTTTGAGGGCAGGACTCTGTGATAGATGTCCGCTTCAGTCACGAGGGGACGTGAGTCATGCGGATGGGAGAAAGTTCTTGTCTTGACATGCTTGACAGGTTCATCGCCGCCGCCGCCATGGATGGAGTCATCAAAGTCTGGTATATGCTTGCTATGCCGCCATGTGCTGTTGTTGAACTGCTTCAAGGATGGCAGACACGGGAGAGCTGGTTACGAGCCTGGTGGAGCAAGCAGCAAGTCTCGCAAGAGTCTGACGTGATGCCCTGCCATGGCAGGAGGGATCGGGGACTATGAACTGGATGGAGTGGCACCCGAGAGGATCGGTCATTCTCGCTGGTACGCCGTCACGTCCTGGCAGTTCAGTCGCTGATCTGTGGGGATCATGCAGGTTCAGACGATGGCAACTGCTTCATGTGGGAGATCTCGAGCAGCTCAAGGGAGGGAGGAAAGCGAAATTTCTTTTCTGCGTGAGGAAGGATGACTTGTCTGTGGAGCAGAGCCCCAACAATCCTACTATGGCACCTGTCTGCAAGTATTTACAAGGTGAGAGAGAGAGGGAGAGGGAGAGGGAGGGAGGAGAAGCTCTCTTCTGAAGTTTTTTTCTCTTGCAGTCATCCTGGTTCTGTCACATGCGGAGGTTTTGCAGCAGGTTGCTCACTGTTTGCTCACCGAGCACTTTGACAGTCTTCTCCCCTTTTCTCTCTCGCACCTGCTGCTTGTTGCTACTTCTCTTCCTCGTCGTCATCTACTTCTTCATCCTCCTGCTTTCTTTTGCCGTGACGCGATCGAGCAGGAGGAAAGCTTGTCGTCACCGGCTGCATTGACGGAGTTCTCCGGGTGCTGCTACTTCCAGCTGGTCAAACTCGTTTCGCTCACGTTCGAATCCTCCACAGATCTTCTGCCCTAAGACAGGCTCCCTCCTCCGCAGTAGGACCCGCGCTGCTCCACCTCCTCCTGTCCCCCTGCGTCCTTGTCCTTGTCCTTGTCCTCGTCCTCAGCCTGCTGCATTCCTGAATCATTCATCTTCTTTCTTCTTTCTATTCCGTTTGTCTCTCGTCCTGCCTGATTGCGCTGCCCTTGATATTCAATTTATTATCCAATTTGATCACAATCGACCCTCTCCTCCTCTTCTCTTCCTAACGTTCCTCAGGTATCAATGATCCCGTGAACGCACATGCTGACGTCGTTACGGCTCTTGCATGCCATCCCTCTGATCCTGTTTGTGTGAGCGGCGACAAGAACGGGCGGGTCATCCTGTTCCACTCGCAGACGGGAAAGTGAGTGACGAGGGAGGAAGGGAACATGTGAAATCAAATTTTCTCGCCTGCATGTTTTAGCTTCTTGTTCTGGCTGACATGTGTCTCTTCTTCCGTCTTGATATGATCTCTTTTCTTCTCCCCTCCTTCTTCACATCTTGTCTTGTTCTACTTCTCCTTCTCAACCCTTTGCCAGGATCATCAACAAATTTCCTCTTTTCGCCACGTCAGGGCACACAGCATCGAGTAAGTCCCTTGCAATGCTCCACATCATCCAGGCTCTTTCCTTGCCACCTCTTCTATCTTTGATCTGCTCATCTTCTCCTCTCTGACTGTTGGCTAAGTTGAAGACATTCTCATCTCCAAGTACTACCCCGATATCGCCATCACCGCCAGCATGGATGGCTCCGTAAGGATATGGGAGATAGGTTGTTCCCCACTCCTTCTCTCTCCTGCTCCTGCACCTGCACCTGCACCTGCACCTGCACCTGCACCTGCACCTGCACCTGCACCTGCACCTGCACCTGCACCTGCACCTGCACCTGCACCTGCTCTTGCTCTTGCTCCTGTTCCTGCTCTTCACTTGCGTGCTTGTTCTCACTGTCTTCACTCATCCTCCACAGCCAACGGCCGCGAGCGAGCGTGCTGCTACCAGACGCGACGAACGAACGAGCATGGAGTGCCGCAGCACGAGGGGGCGACGAAGCTGCTGATGCATGTCTCATCTCCGATGCTCTTCTCAGCTGGAGCCAAGGGAAACCTCTACGTCTGGAGCATCCTCGACGGCTCCCTCATCAAAGTCTTCCGGGGGCACCATAAGGTCTGGCTGCACGTGCGCTCCTGCTCCTGTTGTTGTTGCTGCTGCTGCTGCTCCTGTTGTTGTTGTTGCTGCTGCTGCTGCTCCTGTTGTTGCTGCTGCTGCTGCTCATGTTGTTGTTGTTGCTGCTGCTGCTGCTGTGGATTGTTGTTGATCTCCTTCCATTTTTTTTTGTCTTCTTGCGCTGCTGTTTGTCATTCGATCGACATTTGTTCTTCATTCTCTCCTGTACTCGCATCTTCTTCTCTGTTCTCCCTCTCCGTGCTCCTTCCACTCCCTTTCCCCACTTGCTCCCCCCCCCCTTCCATCTCCTTTCCTAACTTGTCTCCCAGGCGATTCTCAGTATCGCCATCACCAGAGACGCGAAATTCGTGCTGACGGGATCAGACGATAGCACGTGCAGAGCCTTCAAGCTGCCCTCCCCTAGTTAGCACAAGCTCAAGCTGCATGGTATTCATTAGAAACTCCGTCCTATGAGAAGCGAGGGGAGAGTTGCAAGAGTATGGAAAGGAGGCAGAGCGCAAGGAGGGAGGAGGGAGGAGGGAGGAGGGAGGAGGGAGGAGGGAGGAGGGGGAGGGAAGAGAAAGAGAGGAGGGAGTTTATGTATTGGTGCCTCCTCTCTTTCTCCGAAAGTTTCCATCGTCTTCAACAGTAGGCCACTGACCAGACACAGTTAGACAAACATGTTGGGACAGAGGGAGGAGGAGGAGGGTGAAATGTGAGAACGCAAGGAGGGGGGGGGGGGGGGGGTTAACAGGCAGGGAGGGCGGGGGGAAGGGAAAAAATTAAAAAAAAATGGGAGGAAAAAAAAGCGGGGGGGGAAGGGAGAAGAAGAATTGGGGGGGGAAAGAAGAAAAAGAAGTTTGGGAGGGGAAAAAGGGAAAAAAGGGGGGGGGGGGGGGGGAATTCTAAAAGTCCCTATCCGCCCTGCCAGATGCCCTCCCCCCCCCTCTCTTGTTTTCTCGCGAGGGGGAACCTGCAGCCCCCCCATTTGATGCGAGATATGGTTACCACCCTTTCCCGGGGATTCCCTTTCTCCCCCCCCTCCCTC